AGAGAGAGAGAGAGAGAGAGAGAGAGAGAGATGGAGAGAGAGAGAGAGGAGAGAGAGAGAGAGAGAGAGAGAGACGGAGGCGAGGGTGGTGGCGGGGTAGCCGGCCCTCTTTCGCAGCGGACATTCGCGTGACTTTAATTAAACAGGACGGCGGCTGGGGACGGCCATTCTCCGGCAGATACACGCAGCCGCGAACCGCCATCCGGATAGATTAACGTCGGCGCCCACAGGGCATGCCTCACGTTCGTGGGCGTTCAGCAATGTACTACGTCAGTGGCAATACAATAATAATATCAATATTAGACTAAAACGAATCATCTGGAAATGACATTCTTATCTATGGGCGTTTTGGCTGAATGCTGGTGGTGATAAAATGTGCATGCAAAAAGAAAACAACATTGGTAACAATATGCCTGAGCAAGGAGACGCCACGCTTCTTCTTCGGGAGATGCGCATCCTTATTATGGCATAGATGACGCATATAAAAACACGTCATCTTCTCAAGCAAAGCTAAGCAAATGTGTTTGTATCATATTCGCAAGCTCCGCAGGAAAGTCACAGCTGCATCATGATCCCATCGAGATATGTGCGTCCTGACAGCCTTACCACACAGAGGGTTCACATCATCCTCGACTCCTCCGGACTACAATCTAACTTTCACACTTAAAACCCCTCCCCTCCGGACTACAATCTAACCTTCCCACTTAAAACCCCTCCCCTCCGGATTACAATCTAACTTTCACAGTTGAAACCCCTCCGGACTACAATCTTTACTTTTCATGCTTGAAACCCCTCACAAGTAAATACAAAATCCCTCCAAACAGTGCAGGCATCGCCAGCTAAGCGTAGCGCGGTATGCGCCGGGCCCGAGAAGCGCCTGGCCTTCAGCTTACGATGGTGCACGGCTTACGATGGCGCACAGCTCATGATGGGCACAGCTTACGATGTTGCACAGCATACGATGGTGCACAGCTTATGATGTTGCACAGCTTACGATGGTGCACAGTTTACGATGGTGCACAGCGCAGCTGCTCAGGTGCCCGTGCACACTGCTAAAATCGACCCGATGTGCGTGGGAAAATGACGCACTCCGTAAAAAAAACACCCCAAAATGGTGGCACGTGATGTAGTCCGCGAGTCCGCGAGGCGGAATGTTGGCTGGAAAGCCCGCCCAAAAGCTTGGACCGTCCGTCTGTGAGATCAGCAAACCGCTCGAAACAAACTTGGCCGGTGGAACTTTACCCACTGGAATCACATTGGCGGAAAGTTTGAGCTACCGGCACGCGCGTGGCCTCGACAAGACACGCGGCAGGGTCACGGGCCCCGGAAGACCGGCAGGGAATCCCGGGAGGGCCGGCAGCGGGGCCCCAGAATGGGGGGGGGGGAGAATCGTCCCGCGGGCCCCGGCGGCTTCTCCGACCGTCTATGGCGGCCAGTCCCGGTGCCAATCCCAGAGAGCGGCCGTAACTGTCCGTTATGGTCTGTCAGACTGCACGATCGTCACCACAGAAGTGACTCCTGGAAGACCGCGGGAATCTGACTAGATCGAAGATTTTTCGATCGCATCGTTCGTGCGATGATGAAGGAAATTAATGAATGCCACGAGTGGGTTCTTGACAGAAGCAGATCATATGAACGCAACTCAAACGAGGCATCACACACCTTAGGTTCCACTTTCCCTCTTTAAGACATGTACATTCAGGCTCGTACAGCTTCCGTTTTTGCTTTCCCTTACTACAGCTGTTCACATAGCCCACGAAAAATGCACCTTGCGATGTGATTTGATGGAGTCACAGTTCTGTTTTTTACGTATATGGCCTGGCATTTGCATGTCTACGGAGGGTGGCAGTGCATTTAGTCAAAACATGCAACCCTGACATCTAGAAGCATTTGGCACGCCAATGAAGCCAGGAGATATCACAGCCAACACATAACGCCCAGACATTCTACCACTTTCACCTTGTTCTACACGCCGCCCCACATACCCAGCTCAACTTCAACTCACTGTCAGTACTCGGTCAGCATATCAGAATCTCCCGACCGCGTGCCACGCTTCTCAGCTTCCCTCGCGCGGTTCGGCATGCGTCGGACATCGCCGCGACAGGCGGCGGCGAGGCGCCGAGGTCGCCGACAGGGGCGAGGACGGCATGCCAGCTCGCCGCCCGCCGCCCACCGCCCCCCGCCTGCCGCCGCC